TGTAAAAATATACAAAAATCACCTTAATCATATTTTGGTGTAAATATGAGAATAAAATAAGTTATTCACAAAAAGGATAGTGTTGGGGAATAATTACTAGATTTTTGTACTGCTAAAATGGATAATAAATTGCTTTTAAATCTTTAAAAATTAGGGAAAAATACCAAAAATCTTGGTCATTATATATGGATGTAAATGCTATTTTAAAAGTATTTTGTATATAAAAATACCTAGGAAAAAATTGGGTATCAACAGTACCGAGATTAGAGTGGAGGGGTACCTTAGATCACACTCTCAGTTGAGTTATTTAATTTCTTTGTGACGACCCAAAGGGTCATCACCTGTTTCCTTACCCATTTTGTACTTTCGAGGCCTTGAAAACCTCATTTAGGGTTGCCTCGATTTGCGTGGGCAGTCCGGGCGCGTAGCCGGAAAGCTTAAATACGAATTCTATGAGAAAAATGCTAAATTTTGATATTAAAAGGAATAAATTTGACTTCGGTCAATATTTTGGGTAAACGGACCCGGACCCGTGATTTGACGGTCCCGGAGGGTCCGTAGGAAAATATGGGACTTGAACGTATGCCCGGAATCGAATTCCGAGGTCCCAAGCCCGAGAAATGAATTTTTGTGTGAAATTATTTTCTGGAAAGAATTAAGGAAATTGGAAATGAAATTTGATTAGAAGACTACGGTATCGGGCCCGTATTTTGGCTCCGGCGCCCGGTACAAGTCTTATATATGATTTAAGCACTTTCTGTAAAGTTTGGTTGAAAACGGACGTCGTTTGACGTGTTTCGGGCGTAAAATGGAAATTTGATGTTTTATGAAAATTTGGAAGGAATCATGGATTTTAAGGCTTGATTCAATGAATATGATATTATTTTGGCGATTTGATCGCACGAATAAGTCCGTAGGATGTTTTTGAGGTTGTGTGCATATTTGGTTTGGAGCCCCGAGGGCTCGGGTGAGTTTTGGATAGGCCACGGATTGCATTTTTGAACTTTGGAAAAATCTGGTATGCTCAGCTCTGTGATCTTCGCATTTGCGAAGCATATCTCGCAATTGTGAGCTCGCAAATGCGAGCTTTACATCGCAATTGCGAAAACAGAGATTTTGACTTGCTGATCGCAAATGCGATCTAGATGTCCGCAAATGCGAAAGTGGGTTGTCGCAAATGCGACAGAGCTGGTCGCAAATGCGAACCTTGGATTTTTTATAGGTGTTCGCAAATGCGAACAGCTGCTCGCAATTCCCACAATAGTAGGTCGGGGTTCGCAATTGCGAACCCCAGTTCGCATTTCCCACATCTGAGGCCCAACATATTTTATACTTAGTTGAATTTGAACAATTTTTCACCATTCTTTCAAAACACAAACTCCTTGGGCGATTTTTCAAGAACAAATTTCCTTCCAAATCATTTGTAAGTCGATTTTTACTCAATTCTTTCAATCATTAACATCATTTAACATGTTTTCAACTTAAAATCAATGATTTTCATGGGTGAAATTGGGGGTTTTGGGTAGAACCTAGGTTTTTCTAAAATTGGGGATTTGGACCTCTATTTGAGGTCCGATTTCAAAACAAATCATATATTTGGGTTCGTGGGGGAATGGGTAACCGGGTTTTGGTTCGAACCTCGGGTTTTGACAACGTGGGCCCGGGGGCAATTTTGGAATTTTTGGGCAAAACTTTGGGAAATTCATTTTTATGCATTGAAATTGATCCATTTAGCGTTTATTGATGTAATTAAGTAACTTGTGACTAGATTCGAGCGGATTGGTGGTGGAATCGAGGAGTAAAGCTATAATTGAGACTTGAGTTGAATTCAAAGCATCGAGGCAAGTGTTCGGTCTAACCTTAGCTTGAGGGATTAGGATTTGAGTCCTATTTGCTATGTGGTAATTGTCGAGTACGACGTATGGGCAAGGTGACGAATATCTATACGTTGGTGTCAAGCATGACCGTGAGTCATATATTGTGATTTTCATGACTTCGTTGTATTATTTATGCCTTGGTGAGTATTTCTATTTGTTGTGCAAAGTTGTGGAAAGAATCGTGACTTATGGATATTGAGGAGCGTTGGCTCCAGTCGTAGAACGCATTGCAAAAGTATAAGTGATAATTGAACCTCCAGAGCATTGGCTCGAGTTGTGAAGTGAATTGCAGAGTAAAAGTGAGAAGAGAAAAGATCCTTATGCTATCCCTTGGCGGGCTATTGTCGGGTTATGGGTAAGGACTAAAGTAATAGCTGAGGTAGTTAGGTGTTGTAATAGGTTTGGTTATAGCTGAGGTGGTTAGGTGTAGTATCAAGTTTGATTATAGTTGTGGTAGTAAGATGTTATAATAGGATTGATCATAGTCGTGGTAGTTAGATGTTGTAACAGGATTGATCATAGTTGTGGCAGTTAGATGTTGTAACAGGATTGGTTATAGCTGCGGTAGTTAGATGTTGGGACAAGTTTGGTTATAGATGTATCTCCATTGCCGGGACGTAATTACTCATGCTATTGATCCCTTGTCGGGATAGTGTGGACCTTATTGATCCCTTGTCGGGACTCTCGTTATAATTGTAAATATTATATATGGATCGGGTTGCACGCCGCAACAATATTATATATGGATCGGGTTGCATGCCGCAACAATATTATATATAGACCGGGTTGCACGCCGCAACAATATTATATATGGATCGGGTTGCACGCCGCAACAACATTATATAAGGATCGGGTTGCACGCCGCAACGGTGTTATACACGGATCGGGTTGCACGCCGCAACAAAGATATAATGAAATGGGAGCTGGTGGTACGCCTACCACGAGATATAATGAAATGGGAGCGGGTGGCATGCCTGCCACGAGATACAGGAAATGGGAGCGGGTGGTACGCCTACTGCGAGATATAATGAAATGGAAGCGGGTGGCACGCCTGCCACGAGATACAGGAAACGGGAGCGGGTTGCACGCCTGCAACAAAATGTGAAAGGAAAGTGAATTCTGCCTTTGTTTTCTTTATTCTTGGTAGTGGTTGGATTTTGTTTACTTTATAGTTCTCTTGATATTCTGTTTTTACCTGTTATTCCCCGGAGCATGTTTCCCCCTCCCACCTCTACTTGTTTATTCCTGCTTTACTTTCCGTTGTATATCATATCACTGTACAGGTTTATTTGGTGGTCTGGTCCTAGCCTCGTCACTATCTTGCCGGGGTTAGGCCAGACACTTACCAGCACATGGGGTCGGTTGTGCTGATGCTACACTCTGTGCTCTTTTGCACAGATCCAGGTACCAGAGCAGCATACGGTGCGCAGTAGTAGCGCGGGAGTTAGCCTTCAGTCCAGCGAGACACCGAGGTAGCCTTGCAGGCGTCCGCAGGCTCGACGTCTCTTCTATCTTTTATTTCAGTTTGTTATCTCATGTATTTCGAGAAAAACAGTTATATTTTCTTTCATACGGTTGTATTTAGCACTCTTAGTAGTTCGTGAGTATGTGACACCAGTTCTTGGGTAGAGGTTTATGTTGAGTTTCCGCATTGTTGTTCAGATTCTTTAATTTAAGACTTCCACTTATTTACTTTATTTCGCTGTTTTCATGATATTAGCGATAATTGTTTAAAAGAAGTAAATTGGTTAATGCAAAAGGTAGTTAAGGGTTGGCTTGCCTAGCTCTCATCAGTAGGCGCCATCACGATTCCTGAGGGTGGGAAATCCGGGTCGTGACAAGTTGGTATCAGAGCTCTAGGTTGCATAGGTCTCACAACTCACGGACAAGCTTAGTAGAGTCTGAGGGATCGGTACAGAGACGTCTGTATTTATCCCCCAGAGGCTACGGAGTTAGGAAAAGTTTCACTTCTATTCTTTCATGTCGTGCGATTTTGTTCTCTCAGTGCTAGATTGAAACCTCTACTCTTGTCCTTTCGCGAATGGCGAGGTCATGTACCGCTTCTTCAGCCGAGCAGCAGCACAGACCGGTGATAGATCAGCCACATCATCGGAGGCTTTGTGGAGATTAGATAAGTTTACTAGGCTCTTCACTATTTCATTCAGCGGTGCATCTACTGAGGATCCCCGGGATTCTCAACACAGCTGTCATGAGGTTCTCAGAAATATGGGGAGAGTTAAGACCAATGGGGTCGATTTTGCTACTTTTCGCTTGTTTGGGTCCGCCAAGACTTGGTGGAGAGATTATTGCTTGGCTAGACCAGCCGGATCGCCAGCTTCGACTTGGGAGCAGTTGACGTAGCTATTTCTAGAGGAGTTTCTCCACATCACTCAGAGGGAGGTAGAGGTATTAGAGGTGGAGGTAGAGGTATTAGAGGTGGAGGCAGAGATGCTAGAGGTGCAGGTATTGTTCTGGTTTGTGGTAGAGGAGCTTCGGCTTTATTTTGCGCCGTATCCGGTCGTGCCTAGTGATTCTATTGTGGTGGATCGTGTCCATTGCTCATGTATAATGGTGATTGGAGGTTTTGAGACTCGTGTAGATTTGCTTCTTCTGGACATGGATGAATTCAGTGTTATATTGGGATGGACTGGTTATCACATTACCACGCTATCTTGGACCGTCATGCCAAGACTGTGACCTTAGTTTTACTGGGTATGCCTCGTTTAGAGTGGAGAGGGACTCCAGGACATTCTACCCACAGTGTTATATCGTATGTGAAGGCTCGGCGTACGGTCGAGAAGGGGTGTTTGGCTTATTTAGCTTATGTTCGGGATTCCAATCTGAGGTTCCCTCTATTGATTCTGTGCCCGTTGTTTGTGAGTTCCCTGATGTTTTTCCTTCAGACCTACCGGGCATGCCACCCGACAGGGATATTGATTTCTGCATTGATCTAGTTCCGGGCACTCAGCCCATTTCTATCCCGCCATATCGTATGGCCCCGCCTAAGTAGAAAGAGTTAAAGGAACAGTTGCAAGATTTGCTAGAGAAGGGCTTCATTAGGCCAGTGTTTCGCCTTGGGGTGCACCGGTGTTGTTTGTTAAAAAGGAGAATGGGTCAATGAGAATGTGTATTGATTACCGGCAATTGAACAAGGTTACAATCAAGAATAAATATCCACTGCCGAGGATTGATGATTTGTTCGACCAGTTTCAGGGTGCCAGGGTATTTTCCAAGATTGACTTGCAATCCGGCTACCATCAGTTGAGGATCAGGGCATCCGATGTCCCTAAGACAGCTTTCCGCACTCGGTACAGGCATTATGAGTTCTTGGTTGTGTCATTCGGGTTGACAAATGCCCCAGCAACTTTCATGGACTTGATGAACCGAGTGTTCAGGCCGTATTTGGATTCCTTCGTGATAGTGTTCATTGATGATATATTGATATACTCCCGCAGCCAGGAGGAGCACGAGCAACACCTTAGAGTGGTTCTTCAGACTCTGAGGGATAGTCAGCTATATGCCAAGTTCTCCAAGTGTGAATTCTGGTTGGGTTCAGTTGCATTTCTGGGTCATGTTGTATCAGCAGAGGGTATTCAGGTAGACCCAAAGAAGATTGAGGCAGTCAAGAACTGGCCTAGACCAGCATCAGCTACAGAGATTCGGAGTTTCTTGGGGTTGGCAGGCTACTATCGACGGTTCGTGGAGAATTTTTCATCTATTGCAGCCCCGATGACCAGATTGACCCAGAAGGATGCCCAGTTCAGATGGTCGGATGAGTGTGAGGCGAGCTCCCAGAAGCTCAAGACAGCTCTAACTACGACACCAGTGTTGGTTTTGCCCACAGATTCAGGGCCTTATACAATCCATTGTGATGCTTCCCATGTTGGGCTTGGAGCAGTGTTGATGCAGGATGGCAAGGTCATTGCCTATGCTTCGAGGCAGTTGAAGATTCATGAGAAGAACTATCCGGTTCATGATTTGGAGTTGGCAGCCATAGTTCACGCATTGAAGATTTGGAGGCATTATCTGTATGGCGTGGCATGTGAGGTGTTCACAGATCACAAGAGTCTTCAGTATTTGTTCAAGCAAAAGGAGTTGAATTTGAGGCAGAGGAGGTGGTTGTAGTTGTTGAAGGATTATGACATCACCATTTTATATCATCTGGGGAAGGCCAATGTGGTGGCCGATGCATTGAGTAAGAAGTCAGCCAGTGTGGGCAGGCTTGCCTATATTCCGGTCGGTGAGAGGCCGCTTGCTTTGGATGTTCAGGCGTTAGCCAATTAGTTTGTGAGACTGCATGTTTCTGAGCCTAGTCATTTGTTAGCTTGCACGGTCGGTCGTTCTTCATTATTGGAGCGTATCCGTGATCGGGAGTATGATGATCCCTATTTGTGTGTCCTTAGAGACACGGTGCAGCGTGGGGGTGCCAGGCATGTTACCTTAGATGATGATGGAGTTTTGAGATTGCAGGGTCGAGTATGTGTGCCTAATGTGGATGGGCTACGAGAGTTGATTTTGGAGGAGGCCCATAGCTCCCGGTACTCTATTCATTCGGGCGTCACAAAGATGTATCAGGATTTGCGGCAGCATTACTGGTGGCGTAGAATGAAGAAGGATATCGTAGCATATGTGGCTCGTTGTTTAAATTGTCAGCAGGTTAAGTACGAGTATCAGAGGCCTGGCGGTGTATTTCAGAGGATTGAGCTTCCCGAGTGGAAGTGGGAGCGGATTACTATGGACTTTGTTACTGGACTTCCTCTGACCCGGAAGAAGTTCGACGCAGTTTGGGTCATTGTTGATAGGCTGACCAAGTCAGCACATTTCATTCCTGTGGCATTCTCCTATTCTTCTGAGAGGTTGGCTGAGATCTATATTCGGGAGATAGTTCGCCTTCATGGTGTGCCCGTATCTATCATTTCGGACCGGGGTACGCAGTTTACCTCGCGCTTCTAGAGAGCAGTTCAGCGAGAGTTGGGCACACGGGTTGAGTTGAGCGCAACATTTCATCCCCAGACGGACGGTCAGTCCGAGCAGACTATTCAGATTTTGGGGGATATGCTCCAAGCTTGTGTTATTGACTTTGGAGGTTCATGGGATCAGTTCTTTCCTCTAGCGGAGTTTGCCTACAACAACAACTACCAGTCGAGCATTCAGATGGCTCCTTATGAGGCCTTATATGGTAGGCGGTGTCGGTCTCTGGTTGGATGGTTTGAGCCGGGAGAGGCTCGGTTGTTGGGTACGGACCTGGTTTAGGAGGCCTTGGAAAAAGGTCAAGACCATTCAGGATAGGCTTCGTTCAGCTCAGTTTAGGCAAAAGAGTTATGCAGACCGCAAGGTTCGAGATGTGGCATTTATGGTTGGTGAGCGGGTATTGCTCCGAGTGTCGCCTATGAAGAGCGTAATGAGGTTTGGGAAGAAGGGCAAGCTTAGCCCTAGGTTCATTGGTCCGTTTGAGATTCTTGATCGAGTGGAGAGGTGGCTTATAGACTTACTTTTCCGCCGAGCTTATCAGCCGTACATCCAGTGTTTCATGTGTCCATGCTTCGGAGGTATCACGGCGATCCAGCCCACGAGTTAGATTTCAGCACTGTCCAGTTGGACAAGGACTTGTCTTATGAGGAGGAGCCGGTAGCTATTCTAGACCGGCAGGTTCGTCACTTGAGGTCCAAGAGTTTTCCTTCTGTTTGTGTTCAGTGGAGAGGTCAGCCTCCTGAGGCATCGACCTGGGAGTCCGAGTCCGATATGCGGAGCCGTTATCCTCATCTTTTCCCGACTCAGGTACTTCTTTCTTTTGTCCGTTCGAGGACGAACGGTTGTTTTATAGGTGGAGAATGTGACGACCCAAAGGGTCATCACCTGTTTTCTTACCCATTTTGTACTTCTGAGGCATTGAAAGCCTCGATTTGCGTGCACAGTCCGGGCGCATAGCCGGAAAGTCTAAATATGAATTTCTGTGAAAAATGCTAAATTTTAATATTAAAATGAATAAATTTGACTTCGATCAAAATTTTGGATAAACGGACCTGGACCCGTGATTTGACGGTCCCGGAGGGTCCGTAAGAAAATATGGGACTTGGGCGTATGCCCGGAATTGAATTCCGAGGTCCCAAGCCCGAGAAATGAATTTTTGAGTAAAATTGTTTTCTGAAAATATTTAAGGAAATTGGAAATGAAAACTGATTGGAAAGTGATGGTATCGGGCCCGTATTTTGATTCCGGCGCCCGGTACAGGTCTTATATATGGTTTAAGCACTTTCTGTAAAGTTTGGTTGAAAACGGACGTCGTTTGACGTGTTTCGGACCTAAAATGGAAAGTTTGATGTTTTATGAAATTTGGAAGAAAATCATGTATTTTGAGGCTTAATTTGATGTTTATAATGTTATATTAGCGATTTGATCGCACGAATAAGTCCATAGGATATTTTTGAGGTTGTGTGTATGTTTGGTTTGGAGCCCCGAGGGCTCGGGTGAATTTTGGATAGGCCGTGAGTGCATTTTTAACCTTTGTAAAAAAAATCTGGCATTTCAGTTCTGGTATCTTTGCATTTGCGAAGAAGGTCTCGCAAATGCGAGCCTTGCATCACAAATGCGAGACTAGGGATTCGACTGCCCGCAAATGCGACCTACTTGATCGCAAATGCGAATAGGGGCAAGTCGCAAAAGCGACATAACTGGTCGCAAATGTGAACCTGGGATTTGTGAAAGGGTTCGCAAATGCGAACTATTTTCTCGCAATTCACATAGCAGGTTGCGCACCCCAGTTCGCAAATCCCATATCTACAACCTGCATATTTTACACTTAGCCGAATTTTGAACCATTTTCAACATTCTTTCAACACACAAACTTCTTGGGGCGATTTTTCACAAACAAGTTTTCTTCCAAATCAATTGTAAGTTAATTTTTACTCATTTATTTCAATCATTAGCATCATTTAACATGTTTTCAACTTAAAATCAAAGATTTTCATGGGAGAAATTGGGGGTTTTGGGTAGAACCTAGGTTTTTCTAAAATTGGGGATTTGGACCTCAATTTGAGGCCCGATTTCAAAATAAATCATATATTTGGGTTCGTGGGGGAATGTGTAGCCGGGTTTTGGTTCGAACCTCGGGTTTTGACCACGTGGGCCCGGGGGCAATTTTGGAATTTTTGGGCAAAACTTTGGGAAATTCATTTTTATGCATTTAAATTGATTCATTTAGCGTTTATTGATGTAATTAAGTAACTTGTGACTAGATTCGAGCGGATTGGTGGTGGAATCGAGGAGTGAAGCTATAATTGAGACTTGAGTTGAATTGAAAGCATCGAGGTAAGTGTTCGGTCTAACCTTAGCTTGAGGGATTAGGAGTTGAGTCCTATTTGCTATGTGGTAATTGTCGAGTACGACATATAGGCAAGGTGACGAGTATCTATACGTTGGTGTCAAGCATGACCGTTAGTCCTATATTGTGATTTTCATGACTTCGTTGTATTATTCATGCCTTGGTGAGTATTTCTACTTGTTGTGCGAAGTTGTGGAAAGAATCGTGACTTATGAATATTGAGGAGCGTTGGCTCCAGTCGTATAACGCATTGCGAAAGTATAAGTGATAGTTGAACCTCTAGAGCATTGGCTCGAGTTGTGAAGTGAATTGTGAAGTAAAAGTGAGAAGAGAAAAGACCATTGTGCTGTCCCTTGGCGGGCTATTGTCCAGTTGTGGTTCCCTTGTATTGTGTTCTTAGTTGATATTACGAATGCTTAGTTTAACGATTCCTTGTGTTGAGTAAGGACTAAAGTTATAGCTGAGGTAGTTAGGTGTTGTAATAGGTTTGGTTATAGTTGAGGTGGTTAGGTGTAGTAACATGTTTGATTATAGTTGTGGTAGTTGGATATTGTAACAGGATTGATCATAGTTGTGGTAGTTAGATGTTGTAACAGGATTGATTATAGTTGTGGCAGTTAGATGTTGTAACAGGATCGGTTATAGCTGCGGTAGTTAGATGTTGGGACAAGTGTGGTTATAGATGTTTCTCCCTTGCCGGGACGTAATTACTCATGCTATCGAATCCCTTGTCGGGATAGTGTAGACCTTATTGATCCCTTGTTGGGGCTCTCGTTATAATTGTAAATATTGTATATGGATCGGGTTGCACGCCTCAACAATATTATATATGGATTGGGTTGCACGCCGCAACAATATTATATATGGATCGGGTTGTACGCCGCAACAATATTATATATGGATCGGGTTGCACGGCGCAACAACATTATATAAGGATCGAGTTGCACGCCGCAATAGTGTTATACACGGATCGGGTTGCACGCCGCAACAAAGACATGATGAAATGGGAGTGGGTGGTACGCCTACCACGAGATATAATGAAATGGGAGCGGGTGGCACGCCTGCCACGAGATACAGGAAATGGGAGAGGGTGGCACGCCTGCCACGAGATACAGGAAATGGGAGCGGGTTGCACGCCTGCAACAAGATGTGAAAGGAAAGTGAATTCTGCCTTTGTTTTCTTTATTCTTGGTAGTGGTTGAATTTTGTTTACTTTATAGTTCTCTTGATATTCTGTTTTTACCTGTTATTCCCGGAGCAGGTTTTCCCCTCCCACCTCTACTTGTTTATTCCTGCCTTACTTTCCGTTGTATATCATATCACTGTACAAGTTTATTTGGTGGTCTGGTCCTAGCCTCGTCACTACCTCGCCGGGGTTAGGCCAGACACTTACCAGCACATGGGGTCGGTTGTGCTGATGGTACACTCTGTGCTCTTTTGCACAGATCCAGGTACCGGAGCAGCATACGGTGCGCAGTAGTAGCGCGGGAGTTAGCCTTCGGTCCAGCGAGACACCGAGGTAGCCTTGCAGGCGTCCGCAGGCCCGACGTCTCTTCTATCTTTTATTTCAGTCTATTATCTCATGTATTTCGAGACAAACAATTATATTTTCTTTCAAACGGTTGTATTTAGCACTCTTAGTAGTTCGTGAGTATGTGACACCAGTTCTTGGGTAGAGATTTATGTTGAGTTTCTGCATTGTTGTTCAGATTCTTTAATTTAAGACTTCCGCTTATTTACTTTATTCCGCTATTTTCATGATATTACCGATAATTGTTAAAAGAAGTAAATTGGTTAATGCTAAAGGTAGTTAAGGGTTGGCTTGCCTAGCTCTCATCA